ATTAGAAAGTCACAAAATTAAGATTTTATGAAGTAGAGGTGAGGGAAGCTGTGGTCCAGCAGATTTTTGAGGCTGTTTAGTGAAAGTTGTTTCACTCACTACTTTAAAGGGACTTTACGGAGTTTTGAATTTTTATGCTCACGATTGCCCCCTCAGGCCAAAAGCGTAACAGCAGCTTCAATAGTAGGCTCGTGCACGAGGCGCGCACGCTGTACGTGCACACTCCTTAACGAAAATAACAGCTGAGACAGTCCCGTGTGTGTGTGTGTGTGTGTGTGTGGCCCGAAGGACAGGAGAACATGCAGCTAATTAATTAAATAATGTGGTTCTGTAGCTTTCTCTTCAGCACAGCCGACAAAGGTTTATGATGGGTCAGTCCTCCTGCATGCTCAGATCATTCCCTTCCCTTGCTTGAAAAATTGTTCCAAAATGAAAGTTGAACCCACATCTTTTTTATCTGTGAATTCAATGCCGTTCGGCGAGTCTCAAAATAAAAATTTGGGCATCTTACTGTAAAAAAAATATACCATTAATGTAAAAAATAAACTCTAAATAAACTATGTTCACATCCAGAATCAAACCCAGGTCTTCTGCACGAGAGTCCGACGTCTTACTAGCTGAGCTAAAGCACCAGTGACGTCCTTTGTATCTGTAACATTTATATCCTTGATGACAGCTGAAACAACGTTCAAAGAACGGTTCGGAGTGAAAATGGCTATTTTGTTGCTAATTAGCAGGAAATATCTAGAAGAAAGTTCTACAGAAAGTAGCTAAGGGTCCTCAGAAATGTAGCTAGCTTTGTCACTAGGCGTTAGGAACAGCGACAAAGTGGCACTGCCTCTCTCTCTGCTGCTAAAGCTACGGATAGCAAACGCTACGGGCGATGCCTGAGCGTGAACGCGCATGAAGCAGCCTGCTCGACCCGAGCATCTCTCTTTTTCTGTGATTTTACAGAAAAACAGGCAATCACAGTAAAAATGCCAGGGCTCATTCTACAGGACCAGGGCGTTGCAGGAGAATGTATGAAGAAGACATTTATTATTTCTATACATGTTTTGGCTGTCACACTTCCATAATGTCCCTTTAAAGAAAAAGAAATCAAATTCCCACAAAACAACGCTTGGGTTTCTACACGACCTTCAAAGAGATTGACCTTTAAGCTGAACCCCACTGCCTTCAGCGCCTCTTATTCACATCCAAACACTTTTTGGTTCAGAAGAAAAATAAGTCCCGACTCTGTTGCCATTAGCGAGGTTCTTACAGGTGTTTGATCCTTCTTTATCTGCATTTTGATGTTTTTATCATCGTCACCCACTGCTTTTTTTCCTCAAAGAAGTTTTTTTTTATCTCCAAAGAAAATAACAGCTATTGGTTTTACTACGTTTTTGTGACGTTGTTGAGGAATCGACATGCTTCACCATCAAAACCAGTCTGACTGGATCCCAGTCTCTCCTGTTATTCGCCTGCCTACATGTTCCTCCCTGTAGATTAAACAAAAACAGCGCCCGCAGTCAGCCTCTAGCATGTTTTCAGGGCTTGTCTGACTCATGTGAACATGTGACCTCAGATGATTCAGAGACGATTACTGCTCTCAATGACAGAAAGCTAAAAAACAGAGACGTGTTGTTTTATTTCTGCCTTTCTGACTTTGGGAGCAGCTTAGCAGTGAGTCTGATCTTCCTTTTCAACAAATCTGCTCTGGGCTCTGCTCAGAATGGATGTCTTTTGAGGTTGTGTTTGGTGGAAAAAGAGCTCTGGTGCTCCGGTTTCAGGAAGTAGAGGTTAGTGCGGGGAACGTGTGTGGAAGGGGGAGGTGACAAAATTACGTCTTACTCATAAATATTTATGATCGAACGCTGAAGCTAACAGGTTAGCTTTTATTCAGAAAACCGCGGTTGAGTGACTCCGTTACCCTCTGCCATCTTGGCTGTCACACTTTTAACGTGAGGCCGAGGCTGAAGCCGTCCCTGGAGCAAGCAGGGGGCGCTGATGACTCATCTGCTACCTGTCAATCAAAAGGCCACGCCTCTTAATATTCATAATCTCATCTAATAAATGGGTTACAAAAAAATCACCCCCTCAAAGTTATTATGATGGTAAACTCCATCAATCCGTCCATTTTCATCTGCTTATCCGGAGTCGGGTCGCAGGGGCAGTAGCCTGAGCCGAGAGGCCCAGACTTCCCTCTCCCCAGCCACTTGGGCCAGCTCCTCCGGGGGAATCCCAAGGCGTTCCCTGGCCAGGTGAGAGACATAGTCCCTCCACCGTGTCCTGGGTCTACCTTTAGGTCTCCTCCCGGTTGGACGTGCCCGGAAAACCTCACCAGGGAGGCGTCCAGGAGGCATCCTGACCAGATGCCCGAGCCACCTCAACCGGCTCCTCTCGAGCAGCGGGTCTACTCTGAGCCCCTCCCAGATGACCGAGCTTCTCACCCTATCTCTAAGGGAGAGCCCAGCCACTCTGCAGAGAAATCTCATTTCGGCCGCTTGTATCCGCGATCTTGTTCTTTCGGTCACTACCCAAAGCTCGTGACCATAGGTGAGGGTAGGAACGTAGATCGACCGGTAAATCGAGAGCTTCGCCTTCTGACTCAGCTCTCTCTTCACCACGACAGACCGGTACAACGCCCGCATCACTGCAGATGCAGCACCAATCCATCTATCGATCTCACGCTCCAGCTTTCCCTCACTCATGAACAAGACCACACACACACACACACACAGTGTTTCCTTGCCCTGACGTGGGTCACCGGGGCCCCCTCTTGAGCCAGGCCTGGAGTTGTGCCCGTTGGCAAGCACCTGGTTGCTGGGCTTTTACCCATGGAGCCCGGCCGGGCACAGCCCAAAGAGCAGACGTGGGTCCCCCTTTCCATGAGCTCACCACTCGTGGGAGGGGCCAAAAGGGTCGGGTGCGGTGTGTGTTGGATGGTAGCCGAAGGCAAGGACCTTGGCGGTCTGGTCTTCCAATACAAAAACTAGTTCATGATGGTAAACTCGACCAATTAAACCTAAAATGTTTTTTGAACCAGGATGTAAGCAGGTTTATCTCTGCTGTGAAGTTGGCATTTTTAACTCAGGAGATAATGACCTGTATTTGTATAGCACCTTCTTAGGGTTCTACGACCCCTCAAGACGCTTCACAACACAATCAGTCATTCACCCATTCACACACACATTCACACACTGGTGGGGATGAGCTACGATGTAGCCACAGCTGCCCTGGGGCGCGCTGACAGAGGCGAGGCTGCCGAGCACAGGCACCACCGGTCCCTCTGACCACCACCAGCAGGCAAGGGGGTTAAGTGTCTTGCCCAAGGACACAACGGCAGCATTCTCTGGTCGGAGCCGGGATCGAACCAGCAACCTTCAGATTACCAAACAACCCGCTCTACATTCTGAGCTACTGCTGTCAGTGGGAACTTGCTCCTTTCTGGAGCCAGCCCCTAGTGGACGAGCAGGGAACTACTCTCCTGCAAGCTAAATCAATAAAGCCGTCAGTGGTTGCAAGCCACGGTGGGCGGAGCCAAGAATGCTAATTTACTGTGTGACGTAAAAGAGACCAGCTTTTTCTGACCCGGCCATTCTCCTGTCTGTTTCCTGATAGATGCATGACTACTTTCACGTTCTGCCTACATCTGAAACGTATTAGTTATACTTAAAGTAGATGAAACTTTACAGGATCAAGAACTTCAAATTAATAATTTGACCAAATGCATTCGAGAAAAAAAACACAACCTTAAATTAAAATAATAGAAACATTTTTGTGCCTTCAGGAAACAGAACAGTGGTTAGCTTTGTCCACCACACCACATGTTAATGTTCAGCCCAGAAATACAAGCACAAAGGCATGACGGTGCACATTTTTATCTGGACACACATGATCGAACACCACACACAACAGCCGCCAAAGCATCCCAAGAATTCCCCACCGGGATCGCTTTACTGTGCTAACGTTGGGTTCAGTGCACAGAGAAGAAAACACACCTTTGTTCTTCATTTTGTTCTGCAAGACTTATTATTCAAGGTCTGTTATACATCAGTGTTTATTAGGTTAGCAAACACACATAAACAGCATGCTTTTGTTAGCTTCACATTTCTTTTGTTTTAAAGTATAAATTAGGATTAAAACCTCAGAAAAGCCAGATTGTAGAAATCTGTAAATAAGAATTACAATCAGGATAAACATGTTAATGAATGAATGAATGATCGATCATTTGTTATTAAACAGCAAACGGGGAATCACCTGTTGCTGAGTTCAAGCTTATGAAATTATTAACATCTATCTTCTGGGTTTGTGAGCCATCTTTGTTTTTTCTGTCCTCCAGATCTTTGCTTCATTTTCAGCTTCATGGAGGTTCAATAACAATAAGCAGAGGGACTGCGGTGGATTTTCACCACAGTTCTCCACAGATTTGATGCTTTGAAACCATGAAATCTTGATGGATGTCATTATAATTAACCCCCCCCCCCCAGGCTTTCATCAGCCCGTCCCTGATGAGAGGGGAGGGAGTGGGAGGATGAAGGGGAGGATGGATTAACTGTGCTGCGTTGTTGCTGCAGTTCACACATTCCAGTGGGCCGAACCGGGCCGACTCTCTGAGCCCGGGCAGAGGCCTCCTTCACCCCCTCACCCCACCCTTCTGCCCACTCATCCCTCCATTTTCCTTTGAGTTTTAGTGTTTCAGAGAAACTCCTCGAGAGCCTTTTCTCTTCACAGCATCCTGTTGTTTTTGCAGCTTCAGGGTAGGGTGCCAGTTGCGCCCTCAAAGCCAGCGTAAACACAACAAGCCTTTTCTACCTGTGGCTGCAGCACCACCTAGAGGCCAAATGGCGGAACTGCTCCAGTACGCTTAGATCTTTCTGTTATGAGGAACTATGGTGGATATCCTGGTTGAGAGAACAGTGAGAGCTCTGGTTGCTGAGTGTTTATCAGAAGAGGAACTCGGTTTAAGGAGAGCAGAAAATAAATCAGGATTTTTATGTTTGTGTTGAATCCATCAGGGCCGAGTGGAGGTGGAGGCCGGAAACGAGAACATGAAGTTTGAGACGGGACCGTTCTCTTATTACGGCGTCATGGCGCTCAGTGCCTCCACGCTGGGTGAGTCTAACCCTTCATCTCATTCTGCATAAAAACGGTTTTCAGATTTAAGATTATTTACTGGATTACTTATAAAAATCTGCTCACTGAGCGGCGTCAATTGTTTTGATTAACCTTGCAGATTAAAACTCAGCCTTACGCCCTCTTAGGCATTATTTAAACCCTTTTAATGAACAGAGGAAGGTTTTTTAAGTGAGCTATGCGTTCTGTTGCAGACTTCAGGGGTGGAAGTCTCTCAAATCAAAGAGATTTGAATTAAGATGCTTTTCTTACATTTCTTTAACTTTTTTGGTTTCCTCTCTGGAATGAATTCTCCTGTCAGCTTCGGTCGTTGCGTCCAGCCATCAGAGTGTCACCCAGCTCTTCAGCTTTGTCCATTTTTGACCGTCAGACACTTCTGTGCTTTTCAAATGTGTCTGCAGCAACTTATCAGTGCACAAAAAGCTTAAATGTGGTGCTTATGACTGAAATATGTGATCATTTTTGTTTACAAAGATCCTCAAAAGAAGTACAAGTAGGTTTGTTTTTTATAAACTGCCCTCGAATGGTTTATGTCATGCCGTAATGATCGGTGTTTTAGTGTTCATGTTGGAGACTGCTCTTCTCCCAATGTCCCACTTCCATGGGGAGTGCCACAGGGTTCCATCCTGGGTCCTCTTCTCTTTTCAATTTACATGCTACCACTTGGTAAGATTTTAGCAAGTCTCGGGGTTAACAACCACTTTTACGCAGACGATTGCCAGGTCTACCTTCAAATCAGCCAACAGCACTCATTTTCTCTATTGTCAGAATTAGGGTTGTCACGGTAACCGGTGTAGCGGTAAACCCCGGTAAAAAAGTTGACAATAATAATAACCGTCTTGTTTTTTAAACTATATTATCTCGGTGGATTAGCGTGGCTGCGGTGTAGGCGCGGTGACCCTTACCAGCCACCGTATCATCTGCTGAAGTTGCCGGCGGCACATGCGCACTTTGTTGTTTACAACCCAAACTTTCTTGAAGCTAAAGCTGAAATAATGGCCAAAGGAGGAGATGGCAGTGCTCAGGACATTTATTATCCCTCAAAGAAGACAAAGTGGGAAGTACGGGCATCTTTTGGATATCTGAAGAATGCCGAGGGACAGTTGATAGAAGACGGCTATCCTGTTTGCAGCACGTGCAGAAAAAGAGTCTGTGAAAGGCAGCAACGCTTCAAATCTCATGACACATCTGCGTGACCATCACCCACAACTCTACAGTCAACGCAAGGCAAGCTAACGTTAGCATTTTAGCTAAAATGCGTGATCCGAGGATTTGGGTTGAGGGAGAATGCAACGAGTCGCTATATAAAGCAGCCGCAGCGCCGCTACCTGCATATAAACCGTGTCGCGGACACCGCCATGTTGAAACGACGCTATGCATTACGGAGCTCCCAGGGGCAGATAAGAGTTGGTCTCTCTCCGAGAATAATTATGAATTTAACAACGATTACTGCCTGATGACATTTTCCCACATCTGCAAAGCTCACTGGAAGGACACAAACCGAGGACGATATTTTCCTGATATAGGGTTTATTACTCAAGTAAGGGTAAAAAAGTATCTGATCAGAAGGCTACTTGAGTACTGAGTATCATCTGATCTAATATTTTTAAATGATGGCATCAAACAGACAAAAAATAAGAAGTTATGGGCAAATATTGGTATTTTAAAGACTAAAGGGGAAACATGTAAACAAATAAACAACATAATTACAAAATAACACATTTCAGGCAAACTTCAGACACAAACTGAGGACAATATTTTCCTGATATACAGGGTTTATGTAGTTGTCTGAAAATGTAACACGTTTAAAATAACAACCGCGATAATACCGAAAACCGTGATAATTTTGGTCACGATAACCGTGAGGTTAAATTTTCACACCATGACAACCCTAATCAGAATGCCTCTCAGGTCAAATCCTGGCTTTCTTAAAACTGCCTACGACTCAATGACAGCAAAGCAGATGCCATACTTTTTAGCCCCACTAACATGAATGGTGCTTTAGGTGTCCCAACTCCCCCCTCACCCAATCTCAAATCATGTGCCACTAGCCTAGGTGTGAAACTGGACTCTGGCCTTTCAGTTACTTCACAAGTCAACACCACTGTCAGGTCCTGCTTTTTCCAACTCCGCCACATCACACGTCTTAAATCAATCCTCAAACGCCCGCATCTTGACGCAGTCATTCATGCTTTCATTACTTCACGCCTGGATTATGCAAATTTGGTCCTGATTGGGACTGATGCTTCAGCCCTAAGCAGACTGCAGAAGGTTCAAAATGCTGCGGCCAGATTTTTAACCAACACCGACAGACGCATGCACATCACACCTATCCTCGCAGATTTACACTGGCTCCCAGTCAAATTTAGGATTCATTTCAAGGTCTTGTTACATGTATTTAAGGCTTTGTGTTGCCCATCCCCATCCTATCTGACGGGCCTGCTGACTACGTTTGTTCCCACTCGTCCCCTTCGTTCAGCAGATCATCTGCTGCTCGTTGTTCCGAATGTTCGGTACAAATCCGGGCGGGGGGGGGGGGGGGGGGGGGGGGGGGGGCTTCTCTCATGCAGCCCCAAAACTCTGGAATACTCTGCCCCTCCGTGCGTTTGGCTCCCTCTGTCAGCAGATTCAAGTCGGCCCTTAAAACACACTTTTTCAGGATCGCCTTCCCTCCGTGACACTTTACATAAAAATCCAGCACCGGGTTTATTTTTCTTATTTAGTTTTTATGATTTCGTAGCTCACTTTTAACACCTCGCACCATCTTGTAGCTTTTTTTTGGTTTTATTTGTGCCATTTCAAATGGTTTTTATCATTCCTGGCATATTTTTTATTTTTGTTAGTGCTGTTAACTGTTCTCTTATTCTGTTGTTTTAAGTAGGAATTTTTATCCTTGATTATTTATGTTTTGTTTTTAATGTATTTTACGTGATTTTCATGCTTTCATTGTGTTTTGCTAATACAGGTCCTTCTCAAAAAATTAGCATATTGTGATAAAGTTCATTATTGTCTGTAATGTACTGATAAACATTAGACTTTCATATATATTAGATTCATTACACACAACTGAAGTAGTTCAAGCCTTTTATTGTTTCTAATATTGATGATTGTGGCATACAGCTCATGAAAACCCAAAACTTCTATCTCAAAAAATTGGCATATTTCATCCAACCAATAAGAGAAAAGTGTTTTTAATACTAAAAAGGTCAACCTTCAAATAGTTATGTTCAGTTATGCACTCAATACTTGGTCAGGAATCCTTTTGCAGAAATGACTGCTTCAGTGCTGCGTGGCATGGAGGCAATCAGCCTGTGGCACTGCTGAGGTGTTATGGAGGTCCAGGATGCTTCGATAGCGGCCTTAAGCTCATCCAGAGTGTTGGGTCTTGCGTCTCTCAACTTTCTCCTCACAATATCCCACAGATTCTCTACGGGGTTCAGGTCAGGAGAGTTGGCAGGCCAATTGAGCACAGTAGTACCATGGTCAGTAAACCATTTAGCAGTGGTGTTGGCACTGTGAGCAGGTGCCAGGTCGTGCTGAAAAATGAAATCTTCATCTCCATAAAGCTTTTCAGCAGATGGGAGCATGAAGTGCTCCAAAATCTCCTGATAGCTAGCTGCATTGACCCTGCCCTTGATTAAACACAGTGGACCAACACCAGCAGCTGACATGGCACCCCAGACCATCACTGACTGTGGGTACTTGACACTGGACTTCAGGCATGTTGGCATTTCCCTCTGCCCAGTCTTCCTCCAGACTCTGGCACCTTGATTTCTGAATGACGTGCAAAATTTGCTTTCATCAGAAAAAAGTACTTTGGACCACTGAGCAACAGTCCAGTGCTGCTTCTCTGTAGCCCAGGTCAGGAGCTTCTGCCGCTGTTTCTGGTTCAAAAGTGGCTTGACCTGGGGAATGCGGCACCTGTAGCCCATTTCCTGGACACGCCTGTACACGGAGGCTCTGGATGTTTCTACTCCAGATTCAGTCCACTGCCTCCGCAGGTCCCCCAAGGTCTGGAATCGGTCCTTCTCCACAATCTTCCTCAGGGTCCGGTCACCTCTTCTCGTTGTGCAGCGTTTTCTGCTACACTTTTTCCTTCCCACAGACTTCCCACTGAGGTGCCTTGATACAGCACTCTGGGAACAGCCTATTCGTTCAGAAATGTCTTTCTGTGTCTTACCCTCTTGCTCGAGGGTGTCAATGATGGCCTTCTGGACAGCAGTATGGTGGGCAGTCTTACCCATGATTGCGGTTTTGAGTAATGAACCAGGCTGGGAGTTTTAAAAAGCCTCGGGAATCTTTTGCAGGTGTTTAGAGTTAATTAGTTGATTCAGATGATTAGGTTAATAGCTCGTTTAGAGAACCTTTTCATGATATGCTAATTTTTTGAGATGGGAATTTTGGGTTTTCAGGAGCTGTACGCCAAAATCATCAATATTAGAAACAAGAAAAGGCTTGAACTACTTCAGTTGTGTGTAATGAATCTAATATATATGAAAGTCTGATGTTTCTCAGTACATTACAGAAAATAATGAACTTTATCACAATATGCTAATTTTTTGAGGAGGACCTGTATGTCCGAGCATTTGGCTCTTTTATGTACAGCACTTTGGTTAGCTGCCATGCTATTTTGAAATGGTACTTTATAAATAAATTGGTATGGCATGGTATAAAATCATCTCTGAGAGAATGAAAACAACGGCTGCAGCCGAGTTTGAGAAGTGAAAATTAGTTTTGATATCAATAAGAAATTGAGCTCGTTTCATTCAGATATAAATGTAGAGTTTATATCTAATTACTGGGAAATGAAAAAGTCGTATCTAATTAAATAACATTTAAAACATTCTGTTTGGCGATCTTTAACTGGCTGATACAGGTTAAAGCTATGGTGAAGTTTTAAACACTAATGGTTAAGAGACATTCTTCCCTCCTCTCTAGTATTGTCCCAGGATCCACCAGAAACCCACATTACCACAGGAAATCAATCAATCAAAAAACTTTAATCATCCCCGAGGGGCAATTGTTTCAGTACAGAAGAATTGGTACTGTGGTCATTCGCAACAAGAGTCGCGCTACCGTTAGATAATAGATGAAGAGGGGATTACATGAGCAGAATTGGGGGAGGGGAAAAAAAAGTCCGAGCAGAGTTACACCCAGCAGGGAGTAGCTCTACTATGCAAAAAAACACCTCAACATGTAAGCACGAACGTCACAGTTCACAACATGAGACCCGGTGGGGGGGGGCTGGGATCCTGGTTTCCTCAGCGAGAGCGGCCCGTGTGGCGCTCGGCCAACTGAATCCACAGGTGGGAGGTCATGGGAAAGCACAGAACACATTGAGTGCCTCAATTTTGATGACCTTGCTGCAGAGACCACAATCTGAAGGCGGGGGGGTAGGTAGGGTTTTCACAGCATCAGTCTGCATTCCTTCCATCGTGGGGGTTGTTGCACGCAACTCCAAGGCTGCTTATGGCGTCAGATTGGATAACAGGACTTTGTTTGAGTCAGGCAGAGATAATTTTCCTCTCTGCCTTAAAGTCTGTATTGATCATTCAAGTCCTCCAGTGAAGCCAATTCGGGTGATAAAACATCTCCACACCGTCCGGTGACCGTCTCCGAGATGACATCCATTTTGCGCACTAACACCGGCAACGCAGCTAAGACATTGTCCAGCTTGCGATTCACCTCGAGTAACGTCCCAGTCTGTGAGGTCTCCGCCCGGACGGTGCCGTCCATGGGTGCGGGTCGCCCTCCAATCGCTCCCGTCATCCCAATTTTTCGGAAAACCAGATATCCTCCCACTCCAATCAGAAGAAATCCAGTGATCATCAGGCCAAATATCCACACATCTTCGACGTCCTCAATGGACAGCTGAGAGAGACAGATGACATTCCACTTCTTCCAGGAATCGAGCATATATCCCGCTGCGTGTGCCCCGTCAGGGCAAGCGCGAGCCCCCTCCTCCGTTCTCATCATAGAAAAAATCTTATCAATCGCGTTTAATGACCAATTAATTAAATCCATTTCTGAAAAATAGTGATTTCCAGAGGAAATGCAGAGAAGCGCTCTGTAGGCAGACGGGACAAAAAGAGCCTTGGGAAAAAAATAAGGGAGCAAAAAGGGAAGCGTCTGTACTCTGTGAGTGACAGAAGGAAATGAGATGGTTCTAAACACCTGTCGCCGTTTTCTAGGTCCAAACGTCTTTTGTTTTTCTTTTTGGGACTCTGGTTGTTTGTCCTTAAGCTGAAGTGGTAGCAGCCAGCTGTTTCTCCTTCTCTGATGTTAGAGCGGAGAACCTCTCACACTAGTGGCCTTCTGGTGCTTTTAAAGAGTGGAGGACCCAGGGAGGTGTGGCGGTTCGGTGAGACCAACAACCGGATGGTCCGTCTGAAACAGTTTGACAATGATAAAAAGTTTTTTTGGAGTAAGAGTTTGTAAAATAATATTTTATTAAGGATAGCTACAGGAGCCCCGTCAAAGCGAGGCGACGATCCAGCTAACTGGAGTACGTCTCTGAAACACAGAGTTGCAATTAGTCCTCCTGAGCAGGATGTACAGAGTCTTTGAGGTGGGACTAGAGGCCTTACTGTGAGACTCGAGAGGGTGGTGTCAGGTCTGCAGGGGAGTGACAAGGAGCAAGTTGGTTCTGGTTGTGAGACTCGAGAAAGCACAGCAGGGATCCAAGTGGGCAGGTGAGCAGTGGAGAGCAGGACGGTCTGGCTTGGCTGGCGAGCAGGGGCTTGAAGTGAATCCAGGAGGTTATGGCTGGAGAGTTGCAGCATGTAGTTGAATCTGTTACCAGAGCAGCAGATAGACTGGTGATACCCAGGTGGGGTTTTCATCCGGCCCTGTGTGGTTGTCTCCCAGCTCCTTAAGACCGTCAGATGGCCCGATGGCGAACAGCTGGCCGCTCCCCGGGACCCGGCCACCTGTAATCAGCTCAGGAGAGGTTTTAGGTGTGCCACTCACCTCAGACCGTGACAGATTTAACAGAAGTAAAGTACACATGAGACCGATATTCACTGTTTTTATGCGTTCTGTCGGCCAATATTTGTCCTTAGTAAAGCAGATTTAAAGTCAGGCGCGTCCTCGGGCAGCCCGGTGCTGTTGCAGAGTTTAATTAAAATGTATTTGCATAATAAATACTCTAAATGAACTTTATTTATGTGTCTGACTTTAACACTGAGCAGAGCACAAAGTTGAGATTCAACAGTTGGTTAAAGTTTGAAAACGGATTCGGCTTCAGAACTTTAGTGCATCAACTGATGTCATTAGTGATGTTTCAGCGTGAAAATGAGGTGGAAAACATCTGGATATCGGTCGTGAAAATCGGCCCACACAAACCTGCAGTACATATCGACCATTACCATGTCTCCTGCATATCGGCGTCGGTATTGGCAAGAGAAAAACCAATATCGGTACAGATTTCCTGTTTGTTTACTTTTTTAAGGTTAATTAACGTCGATGCAGAAATTTTAGTATATTTTGTGTTTTCTAATGATTCACTGTTCTTTCAGGAGCTTCCAGAAGAGAAAAGATGTATTTCCTGATTATCCGTCCCTCTTCAGCATCTTTCTCTCCTTTCATCCCTCTTATTAAGATCGTCATATCAGACAGGATGTTCTCTCTCTCTCTCTCTGGTTTTTCATGTCCTCACCTGGTCTGTCCCTCCTCCTCCACCCTTCTCTCCTGTCCTCTCAGTGGCTGCACCTCGTCCTCGCCCCCTCTCCTTTAAGAGGTTTTCTCTGTTCTCTCGGTTGCCAGGTAAACGCCGGCATGTCTGGGTCCTTTAACAACGCGCTCTGATGCAGCTTGGGTCTAGTGGGCGGGGCTCAATCCAAACTCCTCCTTGTGGGCTGAAAACATGTTTTAGTGTCGTCACATGAAACATGTCCAGGTTTCAGCCCACAGCACACGATTCCAAACAGGATGATTTTTTACTAATAGGCAACATCAGAAGCAGCCATAATAAAAATAAAGTACACCCTCGTTAGTTTAAATGGGCTTACAGCTCTGTCACGCATTAACTCGGCTAAAGTCCAGAAGACGCGGAGAAACTGTCCTCAACCTCCCATCAGTGGGCACTCCATCAGTCTTCCCTTGACCTCCATCTGCAGGTTAAAGGTTAAAGTTCATAACAGGAAGAAGAAATCCTCCTCTCTCTGGATCTATCTGGAGAAAACCAAACACGGCTCATCCCAGCTGGTAGCATGGAGGTGGAGGGTTGATGAGCAGGGCTCCTTCCTGTCCTTAACACCTCTGTAGACCCAAGTAGAGTCAGACATGACTGCATTGGTTCAGTCCAAGTCCAGGCCCTGCAGTGGGACTTTGAGAGAGCTCCTCAGAGCAAACATCAGTCAGCTGGAGCTACACGGCAAAGGATGGAGGAGCAGAACTTCTCCAGAACCACACGAGAAACCAATAAGTTCGGTTTTAGTTTCTGGTTTTTGACGTTTTAAAGTCTAACAAATAACAAGTCCTGATGTTTTTCGTCTTGTTCTGATTTGTGACGTCATAAAAACATCATAAAAGGGTGTACTTTTTCATCATACCAGACATCCAGACGTTCTTCAGGATGCCACCTTTATTTATTTAGTTCTGCCCCTTTCTCCTCACTTTGATGGCATAGTTTAGTCTCTAACTTGGATCGGTTTCAGAAAATTAACTCCTGCTTTAGAGAAAAGTCGTTTTCAGCAAGAAATCATTAAAACCAGTTTCACGTTTAATCCCAAATCTTAATTTTAGTATTTATTTGTAGCCTAATCTAACCACTAACTGTTAATCTAGTTCAGTAGCTAGTAACCAGGATCAACTGCTCCAGATTCTTTCCCTGAAAACTAACTCAGGTTGACATGTGCAGGTAAAACAGTTTCCTATGACTCACTGAGGCCCCCTGCTGGACGACTCATACTGACTGGTAATGATTCACACATGATGACTCTGTGTGTGTGTGTGTGTGTGTGTGTGTGTGTGTGTGTGTGTGTGTGTGTGTGTGTGTGTGTGTGTGTGTGTGTGTGTGTGTGTGTGTGTGTGTGTGTGTGTAAATGGTAAAACATTTTAAAACTTGGCTGAATCATGAGGAAAATAGCTCAAAGAAAGTTTTTAATATTTACAAGTCAGCCTTCCCAAAAATAAACGTCTAAAATGTTTTTACGATGCTTTATTTGTTATTTAAGCAATGTTTTAATTTACAGGTTCATATTTGGAAAACATCTCTAAATGAATTAATTTTGACCAGCTAGAGATACTTAAAGAGCAAGTCACCCCCTACCAGAGTTTTACTCCACTCCCACTTCATGTTTGAAAAATGCAACAAATGCCGTTGCCAGGCAGACCGAGAGGGCGGAGCCGCTAACAAATACACACACACACAGGCACACAACGACATTGTGACATCATATAGTACCAGCTAATTTCATAGTGTACCTCTTAGCCAATAGTGATGGCAGATTTAGATTCAAACGCTGTGCAGAGTTCTTACCTGATGACAACGCAACACTGACAGTTTTAGGAAGAATATTTAAATTTTAACTAAGATGCACTTAAGTGTAAAACTAGTGACTACACGTGTCTGCAGCACGACTAGACACTCATTCATATAGTGTATCAGCAAAAAAAGTTGATTTGGGGGTGACTTGCTCTTTAAGGGGATATTCAGATGATTATTACCAATAAATCGACTTTTTGATGTTAAATTCTGTTATTTATCTGTTGTTTTCATTAGTAGAACTCTGTTGCAGCTGAGTGAACGTGATGGGACCTTTTCTGTGTCTTTTGTGTTTTGAGCTCATTTGACTGTAGATAGTTGTAATAAAACAAGTAGAAGTTTGTTTTCTTGTGTTTAGCTGATGCCTGGTGTCTGAATAACGCATCACTGCCTGCTGAAAGTCACTTCCTGTTTTCCTCCCCCTGTCTCGTCCTCACTGACTCAACGTTTTAGTATTTTCTGCTGCTTGTTTTGTGCGTTTATCACACCTCGTCTGTCCCTAACCACTCACCCCGGTATCATCGGCGTCTCTCAGCGCTGCAACCTCACATTGTGAATCATCACAGCTTCCTGGAGATTTGATCAGAGTTTATTGATGTTGTTTTGTTTGTTTGTTTTATATACGGTAAAATGTTTCTGTGTGTTTGCAGAGTTTCGCTCGCCGTCCCACCTCAGCGGGTTGAACCGGACGGCCTCTCTGAGCGGAGCCGACCGAAGCGAGTCGCTCACCGTCAGCAGCAGCAACAATCAGTTGAACAACAGCATCCCGCTGCAGCAGTACACCCCTGACTTCAACGTCAGGGCGCTCACCGACCTGCAGTTTGTAAAGGTCAGTGGCTAGGTGGGAGGCAGCGAAGCACATCTGCTCATAAACGATTTAATAAAGACGAGCTTTTATGGAAGCGTGTTCCTGCCAGTGGGAGTGAAAGCAGAATCTCGTTAGAACGTGGTGCAATTTTGAGAAGTGGCGTATCAATAAAATGGTGATGCGTCTTGTGGCATTCTACTCTGAATAAAGGAGGCTGTTATTCCAGTTCTGGATGATTAACTTTTAATTTGCAAAACTCTCGGTCACTCTCTGCGGGCTCCTCCACACCCATCCCGTTGCCAGGCAACAGACTGACTGATTTGGTGTAACAGAAGCAAATCGTCCAACATTTCCGACACAAAAGAGCGTGTTGTGTATTTTGAGTTTTACTGTCGCATGAAAACAAGAAACTATCTCACTATCACAAGATTCTGCTCGTATATTTTTTTTCTTGCACGGACATTAATGTGCTTCCATAGTTTATAAATAAACTCTGGCTGCAGAATAAGCATCAGCTTTTGAATAATTGCTTAAAGAGCAAGTCACCCCCAAATCAACATTTTTTTTCTGATAAACTTTATAAAAGTGTGTCTAATCGTGCTGCAGACACGTGTAGTCAATAGTTTTGCACTTTAGTGCATTTGTAATTTTCTGCCTAAAACTGTCAGTGTTGTGCCGTTGTCAGGTAAAAACTCTGCACTGCAGTTGAATTTAAATCTGCCATCGCTATTGGCTAAGAGGTACCCTAGAACGTTAGCTGGTACCATATGATGTCACAATGTCGTTGTGAGCCTGTGTGTGTGTGTATTTGTTAGCGGCTCCGCCCTCTCGGTCTGCGAGGCAACAGCATTTGTTGCATTTTTCAAACAGGAAGTGGGAGTGGAGTAATACTCTGGTAGGGGGTGACTTACTCTTTAATTAATGCATTTTTAGATCTGGCAAATAAAAAGTTTTGTGAGCATAGTGAAGAATTTAGTGGCTACAGAAGTGGAAATTTGGTCAGAAGCCGGTCTGATCCGTCCAGGCTACCATCTTGGTGTTCTGGTTTCATATGGGTCGGGTTTAAAGTTACGTCCACACCAGAACCCAGGAACTCATAACTGAATGTTCTCCTCCATCAGATCACACGCTCTCAGTACCAGAATGGCCTGATGGCGTCTCGTTTGGACAGCACGCCTCAGTCCCCCGAGAGCGGCCACAACATATGCCACCTGGATCAGGTGACTCCCGCTGCTGACATCACCATCACTGACCTGGACGCAGACTCCGCCCCTCTGGAGAACGGCCCAGACGAGACCACGCTCCTCCTCCTGAACGAGCAGAACTCGTCACCCTCAGCCAACCACCACAGTCAGCTGGAAAATAGCGTTTGACCTGGAACATTTACCTGATCATCCCACATTTGCACACGTTCACTACAGCGCTCCATGTCTGCCGAGGAGGCGGGGCTTACAAAGGCATGTTCATTCAGCTGACTAGACCCAAAGAGGCGAGCCGTGTGGGGGTGTGTTCTGTAAATATAAAGGGGTGCAGCAGAAATACACACCAAACACACACTGATGAGCCAAAACATTAAAACCACCTAAACACAGGAGCTCTGGGAGAGCGGCAGCTTTTGGGATTAGAAGGGAAAGTTGGCTTTATGAAGGTAAAATATTTTATTTGCAGTAAACGGCGTCTGTGCTTCCCGCTAAAACACCAAACATGAAATTAGTTAAATTTAGTTGTTTTTGTTTCTCTTCTTGTTAGAGGATGCTCTCCAACCTCAGAGAGTTTTTTGGGTGGAACATTTGAATATCTAAAAGTGTTATTTTAAGCAGGTGAGTCAGCCTGTCTCCTAGTGCGCTTTAAATTATAATTTTTTGTTTTAATGTTTTGGCTCGTCCTTAGAAAAATAAATAAATACCAAAGCTGTATTTGTCACTCACCAGTGATCACCAACAGACAATAAAAATCTGGTTCTATTTATTGACAAAAAGCATCCAAAGGACCAGAAAGCCACGAGTTTCTTCCTCCGATTGTGTCGCTTCCAGTTCAGAGACTCAGGGAGCCCCTCCCCCCTTTTCCCGCCTTTCTGTGTCCCGTTAGCGTGATCAAACTCCAAACCCACCGCCGGTTATCTGCCTTCACCCATGAGCATCCATTCAGCTGGAAGACAAAGAAAATCCCAGGTTGGCGGAGTTCACACAAAGTAATATATGTTCCGTAGAGATTTATAGTGAAATATTTATTGATGAACTCTGAGAGAGACGGAAACATAAGAGGGAGGGATGACAGCAGTTTTTATCTTCTTGTTTTCCAGAGAAAAGATTCAACCCGTTTAGTTTTTGTGTTCAAGACAATCAATCGGAATCAAATTAATGCCTTAATTGGGACACCAGGGTTAGTACCGGAACACGAACGGATAATTACCGGAACACGAACCAGGGTTAGTACCGGAACACGAACCGGGATAATTACCGGAACACGAACCAGGGTTAGTACCTGAACAGGAACTGGGATAAGTACCGGAACACGAACCGGGATAATTACCGGAACACGAACCAGGGTTAGTACCTGAACAGGAACTGGGATAAGTACCGGAACACGAACCGGGATAATTACCGGAGCACGAACCAGGGTTAGTGCCGGAACACAAACCGGGAACTGCCCTGCTCTCACACTCCTGAAACTGGTTTGAGCAGAGATCTGGAATCGGTTTTCATGAGAGAACGGAACCTGAGAGCAAAAAGACTTTTTTATAAAAGGGTGACTCTCTCTTATATATTTTTTATTTTTATTTTTTCTGTTTTTGTGTTTGTGACCAAAAACATCCCAGAAACCCAAAGTGGAGCGCAGCTTCACCTCCTGACTAGACAAAACTTTATTTATTCACATTAATGTTCAGACTTCTTTCTGCGAGGGGCAAACAAAGACCATATTTATGTGATTATTTTGCATTTTGTTTTGTAAAACTCTAATCATTATGCTGGTCTTCAGCTGAACGGTCAACAGTTCTGTATATTTTATGACCGCACTCCCGTTATATTTTACTGTACCTTAAGAGGAAATGTTAAGATAAAATTGTCCTAAAACGTTTGACTTTTCCTTATACTGTATTTTTATTGACTTTGTGAAGAAAATCTACAGTCCCGTTTTTTCCACTCATAAATGAAGAAAGGAACCTGATTTTCAGATTTTTTGTTGTGATGGCAAACATTTTTTTAATATACTTTGAATCCACACACTCCTTGTTTTTTATCCATCCCTTAGCAGCTGATATCATTTCAGCTCCTTTCTCCTCCTATATATAAAACTCTACTCACAGGTGAGTCCTGCAGTTGAGGTGGATTATTCAGCTTTTCCTACATTGGTTGATTCACACAAACAACAATTTGAAACCTTTAAAAAAAACACATTTTTATTCTGCTTATGTCAGAGAATGATGTCACAAACTCTCATGAAGCTGAATGTTTGTGCCTAATTAACTTGTAGGTTTGTCATCTCGTGTTCTAAAAGAGGAAATGAATCATTTGACAGACGTGTTCTTTGTATTTCCACCTTAAATCTGAAACCGAAACATCACAAGATGATTTCATTTCTCTTTTTTTTCTTTCTTTTTTTTTATGCAGAACTTTCTGAGTCTAATTTGTGGATGTTTACAGACTCTAGAAGGGTCACATGTCACAATTTTTCTCAAGAATTAGGGAAATCGGGAAATCTTTACTTTTTGTGTGCGTGGGTTCGTTTCTGCTGGTGTAACATGAGAAAAACGTGCTCCGTTCGACACAAACACGATCCCAAAGAACTGATTTAGCAAGTAGAAGTTGTAGATCCCCTTTAGGCCACGTTTTTGGTCAGATGTTCAGTTTACAGGACTTGAGTTGCAGCGTTGCCTTAATTTTTTAATCTTAAAAACACGAGCAGTGTTTAAATTATTTACTTGTTGATGCAGGTTTGACTGCACAGATTTTTAAAAAGGAGGTTTGAATCTGGAGTTTAGTAGACTAAATTTGATGATATTATCTTAAAGTATTTTAATGCAGTTGTTTTATATTTTTGCATCGACAAAGAAACAAAACTTGAGACAGCTCTAGATTTTCCCCCTACAGGTGAGGAAGCTGCTGCTGCACCTTCTCAGGTGAAATGAGCTCTGATGCCTTTACTGTTTCAGCTTGCCTGTGGGGTTTTTTTGTCCTCTGATAATAAAAATAAGATGCTTCGTTCTGTTGAAATCACAAACAAGGAGCATTTTATTTCTGTGCCTTATGAAGCTTTTTGTTTTGCCATCATGGCTCATTGTTGGGTTAAACTTAATCTTCAGCTGCAGCTGGGTCTAACTTCCTTTCATCAGTCTGGATCTTTATGGTTTTTTTTATTCATCTTCCTATTTTTAGTTTCCTTTAAGTTCCTGGTGTAATCACTTCATGTAAACTTTTTTTTGTGATATTTCATTTTTAGATCTGGTCATTTTAGCCACCAAACCTCATCTTTAATTCACATAAAAGCTTTTATTTTTGTAAGTTGATCCAGAGTTAATGTTTGAACTGCTAGAAAAAGAAGTAATGGTATAAATTAAGCAAACTTTAACAAAACCTATATTTGGATTTTGAAAGCTCCTGCCCCGGGTGTAAACACCAGCTTGTGTAAAAATGTGAAGTAATAAACAACTTGTGAATTTATAGGCACAGAAAACTCCCACATGAGGCTTTATTTAGTCCTTTTTCCTGTTGGTTCTACGAAAAGTTCCTTTAAAATGTCCTTTGATGAGAAATCAGATTATTTGTTGCACTTTCACATGAAAGCAGTGTTTTCCCAAATAAGAGAAATTTGCCAAAATTGCTCTCTCCGCAACGCTGTCGCAACATTTCTGCAGACCATGATTTCAAAACCTGCCTTTCTGTGGCGGAGCAACGCTTTCAGTGACTCGGCAGATTTTATGTTCATTCCTGAAGTATATTAACACGCACACATACACACTCCCATTTCAGATGCTTTTCGTGTGTGTGTGTGTGTGTGTGTGTGTGTGTGTGTGTGTGTTGTCTGTAAACGGGGATGGTCCTTTCTCTCACACACACACAGACTTGCTTTAAAATGGTTCATTTTTGGCATGTGTGTGACTTTTTCAATCAGTTTAATTTTGTACCTCAGTCATTGATTGTGTTGAATGGTTTTTGGGGGCGGGAGGGTTCGGTTGATTGTCTCTGGAACATTTTAAATGAAAAACAGGAAGATGGTTGTAAATACTGTTTTATAATTTCTGTGTTGATGAGTTTTGAAGATGAAGAAAGTTGTTAATAAACCTGAGACAATTTCTCTATGATTATTTGGGATTATGTTTTGTTGGAATCGGTGTTTATTAGATTAGACAGCATTTGTGGTGTTTGAATAATTGTTGAACATTAATAGTTTGGGCTGAATTGTGTTAAAGTTGCCCCAGAACATGGTCATAGGTTCAAATCCCGGCTGCAGCCTTTCTGCGTGGGATTACCACGTTCTCCCCATGCGTGGGTGGGTGTCCTCCCACAGACTGAAACATACGTGTCAGGTGAAATTTCCCGTGCAGTGGGCGTTTTATAAAAACGTGTGGATTTAAAGAGTTTTTCTGTGAATTATGTTTTTGTTTTTACTCCATAAGATTATTTATTGGAACTCGTAAACAAGAAAATGAATGAAAAACGGCCATAAATGATTTGTTCTAAAAATGGCCTGTATTTAATATAGAGCCTAAGAGTTCTACATCCCCCCAAGGCACCTTACAACACAGCCAGTCATACGCACCCTGGTGGTGATGAGCTACAGCATAGCCACAGCTGCTCTAGGACACGCTGACAGGGACAAGGCTGTCAAGCACCGGCACCACCCTCCGACCACCAGCAGCAGGAAAGGAGGGTGAAGTGCCTTGCTCAAGGGCACAGCGACTACGTGGGGACACGGGCAGGCATTTATCTGCTCTGCCACTGTCACTCTATTGGTGTGATTTTAATACTACTAATAGTAAAACTAGCGTTAATAGTATTTGTAATGGTAATAATAATAAAATGTGTTGTATCTTAAGCTTAGCATATTTCTCTAACCAACAAGATTTCCTCCTTTAATCCTGATGCAGGAAGTCCTTCTGTGCCACGCTGACTTCCTGCAGAAAGGAAAAACAACCTCTGATTCAACAACAGTAACGAATAACGACCTCTTCGTCGTGTGACGCGCCGAGGCACGAGGAAATGAAGCTCAGATGTTTTTACAGAAGTTGCTTGAAATGTCAACCAGAAAAATTCCCAAAGCTGCTGCTGGTTTCATCACTGGGAATTTTGTTTGTTGAAGCAGTTCTGCGACTCCAGACGGAAAACCGGCTGTAAAGGTGGAGCGAGGGCGTGTAAACAAACAAGATGTGATGAAACAGGCCCTCGATCAAAACGTGGGCGGCTCCAGAAACCAGCTGTTGGGTTTATTGTGACGTCTCTTTGTCGCTGCTTTGGTTTATTGTGAGAAAGTTGGGAGGAAATCTGAAAGGTGAGTTAGCAGAGGATTACTGCCGTCCCGTAAATCCTCCTCAGGTTACAGCAGGTTCCTCCCGAAGGTTTCACTCAAGCAGAACTACGAAGATATGAGAGTTCAAGGCCGACAGGTCAGAGGCAGAAGCACAAACATTTAGATGGTCAGATATATGACTGACGTTAATTATTAAGGTTTATTGGGAATTCTTAGTTTGAGACAAATGAACATGTGCACCACGGCTACATCAAAAGTGAAACTATTATAATTGTACTGATGCGTTTGAGTCAATCAATCAGATTTTATTTATAAAGCGCTTTTCAAGCAAAGTGGTACTCAAAGCGCTTTGCAGAATTAAAATGACCCCAAATTCCCATAACCGTTTAAAAACATTAACAGACATATGCACACACACACACACACCAGTAAAAATTTATATTCGGCTGAGTCCAGATGAGCTAATTAAGGTAAGGCAAGGAAACTCCATCAGAGGAGCCTTCTGCCCCGGCAGCATCTGGTGTTCCACACTAAGGCCCTGTCCACACGTAGCCGGGGAGCTGCCAAAACGTAGATATTTTTCTACGTTTTGGCCTGTCATCCACACGAAAACGGAGTTTTTTCACACGAAAACGGATCTTTTTAAAAACTCCGGCCAAAGTGAAGATCTGCGTTTTCTCCGTTTTGGGTGTCTGCGTGTGGACAGACAAAACCGGAGTTTTAAGGTCCGCAACGTCACTTTCCGCGACAAAAGAATGCTGACATCACGTGTGCGACCTGTGTTTACACTAGCCGACAGCATGGATGCCCTCAGAGCTGCGCTTGCTTTATCAATTGTCCAAGCGCTTTTTGCTTGTTTGTTTTTGCAAGCGGAATTACTGCTCCTTGCGGAAGACCACAGACGAAGGACGAGGTTAAGAACGGGGGACGTACTGCCGCCTACAGGTCTGGCATGTCTTTAACAATGTATTTATCCGGGTACGTGTGGGCAGAGTTTTTTTTTTAAACGAGGTGGTGTGGATGCAAGTTTTTGGAGGGACGGATATTCGTTTTTAAAAAAAAACGGCTACGTGTGGACTAGGCCTAAGTCAGGGCGCTCAGAGGAGGGGGAGCATAGACCCCACCTCCACTCAAACACTGCCTGTAGAGCGCCCAGGAAGCAACAGTTGACCACCGCCCCCGGGGCAGAGGGCCCCTACAGTGAAAACACTGGATTACAATGAGTAAAAATATGAAAATAAAAGAGCTAATATAAAAGACATAAGTAAGAAAATAAATAATAAATAAAATCATATAGACAGTAAAATAATTATATTATTAAATAATGAAACAATGCTAAAATATAATCATATAAAACATGCAAAGCCAGTAATAAAATATAATCATGTAAAACGAGAAATAAAACTGTAGTAAATAATTAGATAAATGCTAACCCAAATAGGCGGGTCTTGAGCCTGGACTTAAACATGAACGTTCTCTGCGGCCCTGAGCTCCTCCAGCAGATCGTTCCAGAGGCGAGGGCCGTGATACTGGAAGGACGCCTCGCCGTGAGTGTGTGTCCTGACTTTAGGGATGAGCAGGAGACGCCTGCCAGAGGAGCGCAGAGGCCGTGAGGGTTCATATGGTAAATTCACAAATTGTCTAAATTGTGTCTCAGATGGTTTTCAACAAAGTCTCCAACCTCTCCCAAAGTTTTCTCACATTTCTCTCACTTCTGACTCAAACGGAGCGAGGCCTGTTGGAAACCAGGAATCCTCGTGAAGTCGTGGAGAAGAATGAGTTGATTCAGTTTTCTGGAAGTGGTTAATTAAACCACTAAAAGTGTGTCTACTTTCATATTTCTACAGGTTATGTTTCTCATACATGTTTAAAAAGACCCTTGTTGACTGCCGTAGATTTATTTGTTATTTTGATGCAAAACAAAACAAAAATGTTGATAATCATCATGTCAAAAAGAACGAAACAAACATGGACGACATGATGAAGGTGTGCTGTGGTCGGGGTTCGGGGGTTCAACTCTGCTAAGTTAAAATAAATAATCTTTACTTTCACAAATTCTCTAAGCTGTTAAATCCTTTATTTGGAAAAATGTTTAAAAATCCCAGAACAATACTTAATTTTCATTTTCATTTATGTCAAATGTTTAATATTTTGTCATTTCTGTTTTTTTTCTGAACCTCTTCAAACAAACCTTTAAATAAATCTGTTTTGTGTTTCCGACGTGAGCTGAAACCTTCGGACTAAAGCTTGAAGGTTGTTGTGGGTTTATGTTTCTCAGAACTGTTTTTGTCACTTCGCTTGTTGCACACAGACTAACTGAAACGGAAATTGTGCAGTCTGGCTGGACCAAGCGGGTCTGGGAGGACAGAGGGACCGGACCTGTCACGTTTCTATGGCAGGCGAACAGAAAACTACAAGTTTGTCCTCCAGCATTCTAATTCTACAGTGGCATAACCAAAGGGATGAGCCAGGTTTACACATACATTTAGTTTTATGATTTCCAACACTGATACATTAAGGTGAATACTCACATGACACATTGTTGTCACTGAACCAATCAGAACCTTCACGTCTGAAGCATGGCAGAGTCTCTGTGGTGTTTATTTAATCTGTCAGCTTTGATTTGTCCAGAATCATAAACATCCAGATTAGTAAAACAGTCCAACGCCATTTTAAGTTCAGTATTCAACAAGATCTCCAGATCCCCTGAAGTTCACCGCATGCTAAGTGAAGTATGGACCGGCCATCTATGCTTTCCTTTTTAAGCTAAGAACTGCCAAGCTGGGAAATCCTGTCGTTGTTATCAACAAACAACGGTTCCTTCAGAATAAAAGCTGAACCCGCTGACCCAAGGGGGGTCCCTTTTGACGCTGTGAAACACCTGTCGCTTTTTACCTGGAGACTATCCAAAGACTGGTTTGTCGTGTTGTCGACGCCGTTTCATCGGCTCCAGTACCAGAGGAGGGACCGTGGACCTGGCATCCTGATATCACTGGAGGGTATGTGGATGCGACACAAATGGCGTCTCATGTTGTTTTATGACCACGGTTCAAACGTTGATCAGTTAGGAGCAAAACATCATCTCCCCCTCAGACTCGCTTCTCCGGATCGGAGGTTCTGAACTGACATCGCACCAACACACACTCCACCTCACATTCCATTCCACAAGCATCCATCGTTAGAGAGTTTTTTCTGTTAAACTGTTTAAAATCTTTTAGATAACAAATTTTCTTAAACGTTTGAAAGTCTCTCTCTCTTCTCTCGTCTCTCAGTTCATGCAAAGTGTTTATTTAATTTCCCTGTAATAAAAAGAACCAATCTTCTGATTTAAATAGCCCAGTGTCCATAAGATGGGATCCATAATCGATATGGATCTTTAATGTCTATGGTCAGTAATTAAATTGTAACTCTTTAACTCTACACAGGTTTGAGTCCCGCTCAGTCTGTCGCTGCCGTTGTGTCCTTGGGCAAGACACTTAACCCACGTTGCCTGCTGGTGGTGGTCGGAGGGACCGGTGGCGCCAGTGCTCGGCAGCCTCGCCTCTGTCAGTGCGCCCCAGGGCAGCTGTGGCTACATCGTAGCTAATCACCACCAGCGTGTGAATGGATGAATGACTGTGTTGTAAAGCGCCTTGGGGGGGTTCCAGGACTCTAGAAGGCGCTCTATCAAATACAGGCCATTTCAGGCCCAAAATGATTTGATGTGAATTAGTGACGATAGTGTAGGAGAGCTGAAGCTGTTGCTCTGAGGCAGATTCCCGTCCCCATCAGGAAGTTAGACTAAACAATTAAAGCTGAGTCATGATTCAAGAAGGAATTAAAGCATCACACCCTTGG